CACTCAATGCATCATGGGGCTTTTATCTCCAGAGCATTGTGGACACACAGCAATCAAGATTACCCTATATTCTGAGAACAGAGGCAGAGCCTGTGTCGTTCTACTAATCTCTGCCCCGCAAGGCTTTTCCACCTTACAAAATTCCATCTGCAAACACTCTCTTGGATCTTGTGAGCATAGGTTGCCTTCCTTCTCAGAGATACTGCCTCCCTTCTCAGAGATACATGCAACTCTATGTTGAGAACGCATTCGTGGGATCAAAGCAATATTTCCTGCTCAGCAACCACCCCGCCATGTTCCACGGTTTTACAGTACTCTTAGGTGGTCTTTACCTTAGGCCTCCGGTTGCCGCTTGATTTCTATTTTACTGCACCAATATTTGATACAGCTTAGTTCAGGGTATAAATTTCAGTGTACAATAAGCAGAACAACTTATAATTATTTGATTAGAAATAACATAGGTCTGCCCCTGGCCATCTTGACCCACAGTAGATATATTTCACCTTCCTAATTACTATATTCCTAGTTATTTATTTGTTTATTTATTTTGGTGGCAATTATGAATGGGACTTTGTTCTTGATTTGGCTCTCAGCTTCACTGTTGGTCTACAGGAATGTTAGTGAATTTTGGACATTAATTTTGCATCCTAAGACTTTGCTACAGTTCTTTATTGGTTTAAGGAGCCCTTGGGCTGAGACTATGGGGTTTTCTAGATACAGAATTGTCATCTGCAAACAGGTATACACTGACTTTTTTCTTCCAATTTGGATGTCCTTTATTTCTTTTTCTTGACTGACTGCTCTGGCCAGGACTTCCAATACTATGTTGAATAAGAGTGGTGAGAGAGGGCATGCTTGTCTTTTGCTGGTTTTCAAGAACAATACTTCTAGCTTTTGCATATTTGGTATGATGTTGATGTGGGTTTGTCATCTATGGCTCTTACAATCTTGATGTATGTTCCTTCAAAACCTAGTTTATTCAGAGTTTTTAACATGAATGCATGTTGTATTTCATCAAAAGCCTTTTCTGCATCTATAGAGATATTCATGTGGTGTTTTGTCTTACATTCTGTTTATGTAATGAATTACGTTTACTGATTTGCATATGTTGAACAAACCTTGCATCCCAGGGATAAATCCTACTTTACTGTGATAGATAAGCTTTTTGATGTGCTTAAACAAATTTACAAGAATAAAAAAACATTTAAAAGTGGGCAAGGTGCAGAAACAGATACTTTTCAAAAGAAGATATATATGCAGACAATGAGAATATGAATAAAAGCTCAACATCACTGATCACTAGAGAAATGCAAATCAAAATCACAATAAGATACCATCTCACACCAGTCAGAATGGCTATTATTAAAAAGAGAAATAATAACAGATGCTGGTGAGGTTGTGGAGAAAAAGGAACACTTAAACACTATTGGTAGAAGCATAAATTAGTTCAACCATTGTGTAAGACAGTGTGGCAATTTCTCAAAGACCTAGAAATAGAATTACCATTCCACCTGGCAATCCCATTACTGGGTATATATGCCCAAAATATAAATCATTCTATTATAAAGATATATGCACATGTATGTTCATTGCAGCACTATTCACAATGACAAAGACATGGAATCAACCCATCAATGACAGACTGGATAAAGAAAATGTGGTACATGAATGAAATTGGAGGACATTATCCTTAGCAAACTAACACAGGAAGAGAAAACCAAATATCACATGTTTTACTTATAAGTGGGAGCTAAATGATGAGAACACATGTACACATAGAAGGGAACAACAGACACTGGAGCCTACATGAGGGTGGAGGGTGGGAGCAGGAAGAGGATCAGGAAAAATAACTCATGTGTACTAGGCTTAGTAGTGGGGTGATAAAATAATCTGTACAACAAACCTGCACACGTACTCGTCAACTTAAAATAAAAGTTAAACTTAAAAAGAAAAAAGTAATTAATAGATTACTATTAATTATTTAAATCTGTTGAATAATTAATAGATTTGGCACTGTAATTAGTAGATTACAGTGCTAAAGTAGATTTCTAGGAGAGAGCCAACTTGTCTTTTCTCCTACCTATTGGTTCTACTGCATTAAAAAGAGAAAGAAAGAAACCTATCCCTTGGGAAAGAGATTCTGCAGCCTCAGTAACTTATTTCAGTTTATAATCACTTCTTGTAAACTTGGTAAGTTCTAGTTTTAAATCCTAGTTCACCTCACAAATGAAAATTGGTTAAAAGTATTTGGATAGCTTGCCCTACTTTTCATCAGTACATAAGGTGAAAACAATTTATATTTTGATATGTATTTTCCTTATGAGGTATAGACTGGTGAATACCAATTGGTACAAAGACATGCTATTTTTTCACATCAGTCAGACCCTGAATTAAAAGAAAACAGAGCTCTGTTTTAAAAGGAGATCTGGGTTCTTAACACGTGTCTGGCACTAACTCATTTATAGAGTTGGAATCTTGCAATTGATTCATTTACTACAATGAGTCTCAGCGTTTTTAGCTGCAACGCAATAACATGAAAGTATTATTTCAATGATTATATCAATAGATTCATCTAGCTATTTGTTGAAAATATTAACTTCTGAGGCACATCCTAGATATTTTGAATCAGAATTTCCAGGAAAAAGTTTCCCACATGTCTCTTATGCTTGGTCAAGTTCAGAAATAACAAGATGGATTGACCTCGGTAGCTAAATTTTAAAATTCTAATTATTGGCAAACAACAGATAAAATTCTCTGAAATGGTGAGAAGAGCATGTATTTCTGGAATTTCTCAATTGCTGGAGTATCAGAGAAAGGAAAATAAAACAAGGTTGTGTTGTGTAGTTCTCACTTTTCCCCCTACCTTACCACTCACTCTCCATCTGAGAACACTGTTTCCTCTGGCAGCATCCTGCCTTCAACTTAATAGACTTAAGTTTCCTCCCAAAGAGACTTTTATTTAAGAACCAAGATTCCTATGATACATCTTATTATTTTAAAACAAGCCTCAGTCCTTATAAATGTAAATAAAGCTCTCTTCTATTCTCTTTTCTCTGAAAACAATTTATGAAAAATGAGTTCTTCATTAAATGATCTAAGCAAAACATCATGTCTGTTTTTCTGTAAATTTACCTATTTACTACAACTTTTGCCCATATTTTAACTGGGTACTCTTTATTTAAAGCAGTAAATAACCTACAATTTTTTTACCAAAAAAAAAAGGAAGGAAAGAAAGGGAGACAGAAGTAAGGAAGGAGGAAAGAAGAAAGGAAGGAAAGAAGAGAGGGAGGGAAAGGAGAAATTCAGCAAAGAAGTTGGGGAAAGGGCTATATTTGCAATAGAAACTAAAGAGTTGGTTAAATATTGTAAGATTCTTATGTATACATTAAGAAGAAAGTTAATTTGATCATCTGGGTCATGATGGTTCAAAGGAAAACAGACATGTTTGTTCCTTGAGCCTCTATAAAGAAAATAAAAGGGTGACTGAGGAACTGTTCCTGGACCAAAACATAGTCTTGATTATTACTTATAACAATAATAATAGTAATGGTAGACCACTGCACATCTACAGTGCTTTAAAGCACTACACAATTTTTACAAGCATAATTTGAAAATCACATCTACCATGGTTTTTGTTTGGATATCATTTGACTTATTTTTAAATGAAGAAGTTGAATCAAAGGTTACAGAGAATCATTCATGCATCAGAACTCAGGTCTTATTTCCTTGGCTCCAAGTGCAATGTTCTTTTCTTTCTAACATAAAGTCCCAAATCCCTTATCTTTGGCCAGATTTTATTGTCACAGCAACACCCACACCCACATACGCCTAGTCCTGAAGGAACTTACCAAACTGGCTTCACATTCAGAATGACTGCGAATCACACATTCATCCACTGCTGCATGAATCTTATCTCCAGCTTCCCAGCCAATGCAGAATGGGCAAACTGATGGTAATAGGTCATGCTCATTAAATCATGATGAAGATATTAGCTCATGCTCATTAAACATCAAACATGGTGGTAACTTTACATGAGAACTATAATATAGATATTAGATTGGTGCAAAAGAAATTGTGTTTTTTGCCATTACTTTCAAAGGTAAAAACTGCAATTACTTTTGCACCAACCTAATAATATCAGTTCCTGTATTTTATAGCTAGGTAAACTTCTCAAACAGGTTATCTGTGGTCAAAATACTGATTCTACCTACTGCCTCTCCTCTTGTGAAGGGATCACATGGCTCACAATTTGAACTCTTAATTAACGACTTTCTTCATGGAACTGTTACTTCCATCTACATTTTCTCCTATTATATCCTTAATGGCTCAGGAATATTAGGGGTTAAATAAGTTATTGTTAGAGCTTCTGGGAGCCATCAATCAATTCTAAAATTGTTTCCATGGAAGAAAAACTTTTCTTAGTTTCTGCTTATAAATGGAATTGATGATTGTATAAAATTAGCCCTGATTGCTATAAAAAACTAGGATTTCAAAAGGAGTGGTGGTGAAATCAGTCTTTGATACCTGTGCACTTTTGCTACAAACTGCATTTACAAATGCTAGGATGAAAGGAAAGAAATAAAATGACAAAAACCAGTTCAGTCAGTAGGCCAAGAGAAATATATATATATATGCACACACACACCCCCCACCCCATTATAAATGTATAGTGAAATACATACATTTATTTGTTTCTATAGTAAATAAATTTAAACACTAATGAATTGTTTTTTGATCTTTCTTTGTCTTATCTTGCTATGTAGTGGAAAATTAAATAGTAAAAGACTAGCATTCAATTGATATTTTAAAAATCTTATATATGAAATATATTTTTTATATACTGATAACATAATTATGTTATATATTTCATATATAAATATAAAACATATAAATATAACCATATTTCTGAGAGATAAGAACATATATTAGAAATGCATTTAAAAAGATATATCAAAAATATCTTTTTTGTTGTTGTTTATTTTATCTTATTATTTTTCCTTTTCTCATTTATTCAATTACATTTTCAATTGCTGTTTCCCTGAGGAAGTGTATAGAGACACTGCCAGGTCTCATCCAGAAGCCATTTAGAATTATTTATGAAGATGGCTTATTTAGGTTGTTTTGTGGTGAGTTTAATTATATTACCTTTCCCCATCTCGGCTCCCCGACCCTTAAAATCCAATTTCTTATCACACTCAGGCTCTTGGAAAAGAGAAGATGCACCAACTTTTTACTCTTTCTCTTCCTTTCCCACTTACTTCTAGAAGCTCAAAGAATGGTTAGGCCTGCTCCTCTGGTTTGGTGGTAGATTTTTCCTCCTAGGGTTGATTCACACACAAGCCCTGGAAACCAGTCTAGGGTCCAGGCCCTAGTAGATCAGTGTTGTCTCTCATAAAGCCAGTCTGCAAATATCACCCTGAATCCTACTGTCTGTAGATGCCTCCATTCTAATGCTTTCTAGCTTGTTTTTTTAAGGTCTTTGGACCAGAGAAGAGGCAGCAGGTCTGTATGTTAAATGAGGTTGCTATGTGTGAAATGGAGCATTACAAAACCATTTACTATTTTGTGTCCTCCATCCATTTCCCCTTCATTATCCTTTATCTTTTTTATATCTTCTAAAAACTACCATTATAGACAGCTTGTCCACAGGTTATATACTCCCTGAATGTAGGTATCCTGTGTCTCCTGATGGGTAAGCTTTGCAGGGCTCATAGCCCTCAATGCTGTGCACGCAGCAGGAACACAGTCAGTACTTCTGTAATTGACCAAGTATAGATGGAAGGGTTTCTAGCCTGGTGGGCTGGTTTGTAGGAGTAAAGGAATCCACATGCTTAGGCCAATAGTTTTGCTCCCAGTGTCTGGGGCTCTAGGCAGGTTCTTTCAACATTCTGCAGGAAGCAGCATTCCCTTGTCCTCCCATCATCCTACTCCTTACAGTCATCTACCCTTTGACCTATGCCAGGCCTACAGAGACAGTTCTGCATGACAGCTGAATTCCCTAACATCAATAGGCTCAGGAAAGGCTCAAGAAATCCAGACCAAGTCCTCACACAGAAGCTGCTCCAGGAGTAGAGGGCAACCAGAGATCATACAACAATGTGTGAACCCAGCTCACAAAGCCAGCTCAGAACCCATATCTCCTGCCCATCCCACTGCACAGGCAAGCCCAAGCACTACTCTGATACACATTTCTCAGTGTCAGACAACAGCCCACCCAGAGGTCTCCTGGAGCCTCAAAAGGGCTTCAAGACACCAAATGATTATTCTCTGAATAAGAATTTATGTTTTAAAGCTGACCCCTATAGAAATTTCTTAGGAAAATAGGGACTAGACTCCTTATCTTTTTCTTTCAAATCTCATCAGAGAGTGTCAAGTCTTCCTCCTACCCACAAAGGAGAGTCCTAATTTAGAATGCTATTGGGGTGGATATCAGGAGAAATCTCTAGGGTCCTACAAACACATACCCCTCATTGATTGTGATCAGCCTAGTACGTGTGGGCCTTTACCTCCCAACACACCATGCCAAAGTGCCTGATATACTTTCAAAATTCAGGGCCCACATCTGGCCGACACCCACTCCTTCCCCAACCCTCACTGTGTAGGCCATACCTTGGCAACCAGACCATTGTGTCTTGGAAGTGCGTTCCACCCAGGCTGAAAATCTCTGATCACGCGTATGCCAGCCTCTCCTGCCTCGTCCTCTGGGGCCAATTTGGAGACACATTCATCTTTTTTCTCCTCCGTGTTCTCCTCAGGGGTTGGGTGGCTCTTGCTTCACAGATGGCAGGCCTGGGTCTACTGCCTTGCTGGGGCAGTCAGGCACCAATACAAGAGAAATCAGGACAGCTGTGTCTGGTGTCCACTCGTCCTACGTATTTGCCTTCTCTCGCTTCCCCTCGGGTAAGGCCACAACCCAACTCAGGTCAGAGCACTGGGCCTCCTGCAGCAGGGCTTCTGTGAGCTGCAACAGGGCCTGGGGGCAGCACAAAGCCACCATCTACTTCCTGCCTGCTTCTTTGGAGCCTGGGTATGGTCTGGTTAGGCTGTGGGAGTAGCCAAGCTGGGCTTCAAGGTAGTGCCAACATGGTGCCGTCACGCAGAGCTGGGCCTTTTTCGACAGCCATAAGGTGGGGGTGATCCTGCCCCATCCTCAGCTTCTGACCAGACACTGGGCAGCAGCCGCTTCATGGCAAACTGCAGGCACTGGCGCCAGTGACACTTCTGGAGCTTCTGGTTGCTGCCCCCGAATGTGGGCTTGTTGCAGCAGAAGTCGCAGCGGACACAGTCCATTCACCGTAAGCGGGCTGAGCGACCTGGCAGTTGCGGTTCTGCCGGCGGTTCATGCAGGGCTGTAGCTCGTCCTCGTCCACACAGTAATAGATGAACTCGCCAGGAGGCAAGGGCCCAGGGCTCTGCGGTACAGCTCTGTGGGCTGCGAAGAGGAAGGTGGAGGCAGTAGCCGGGCTCCGGGGCACCGCCTAGTAGCCACCTTTGTTGGCGTCACAGTTTCCCCTGCGGCCGCCATGTTTACCCCGTAGGCGACGTCGCTGGACTATTTCCACTGGCGCCTGAGACCAAAGCACGGAGAGCGAAGGCAGATGCAGAAACCGCCACAGTCCTCTTGGGTCTGACAGCCCCAGCATACTCTACACCCTCGGCTATTAAACATTCTCTGTTCCCGGTTAAAGGCAATTCTCCATGCTCGGCAGTCTTTGCACGACATTTTGAGCTGCTGCCTTTGGGTGCCATCTCCTGAGAAGCTGATTCCACAGTTCTCACAGTGACCAGGAGCAGGGAATGAAGCTGGGGCTGTGTCAGTGTCAGCCTTGGTCTCATCCCTCGGGGCCTCCTTTCTGATCTCACCACTCTGTGGTCCAACCTCACATTTCCGAGTCTTGGCGGTGAAGGCTTCTTTCCCTTCTTGCTGGCGACAGCCACGAATGGGCCTTGGCAGCTGGATAGCACAAGATGCCTTGTTTGCCGTCGAAGAGGGTGAGCTACCTGTGATACGCAGAGCCCAGGTATCGAGTCAGCTCTACCTTGCTTCGGATCCTGTCTCCTCTGGTGATAGGTGTCTGAGCGTCCGCAGGTAATCTCTGACTTGCGAAAGACTTCACGGCGCTTCCAGCCAGGGCCGAGGGCTGGGCAGTCCACCCAGTCCTCAGCCATGGGGACTACGGGAAGCAGCAGTAGCCAGTGTGGCGCCAGGCCGGTATCTTCCGCCGCTATAGGCAGGTGCACCCGAGGGGAGATCCCTCCTGCGCCTTCCGCCTCGCCCTCTTCTTCCGTGTCCACTGCCACCTCTTCTGAAGCACACAAATATCTTTATAATATATTCACGCAGGGCTGTAGCTCGTCCTCGTCTACACAGTAATAGATGAACTCAGCAGTTGGCAAGGCACCAGGGCTCTGAGGTGCGGCTCTGGCAAATGTATTTTATGTGATAAAATATATATCATATGTAATTATATATATTTTTATTATCTATTGATATAATATATGTCAATATATTATATCATATATAAATAAGATTTTTAAAGTATCAATTGAATGGTGGTTTTTTACTATTTAATTCACCAGTACATAGTGAAGTAAGACAAAGAAATATTAAAAAACAGATCATGGCCAGGCATGGTGGCTCATTCCTGTAATCCCAGAACTTTGGGAGGCCGGGGCAGGCAGATCGCCTGAGGTCAGGAGGTTGAGACCAGCCTGGCCAATATGGTGAAACCCTGTCTCTACTAAAAATACAAAAATTAGCTGGGGGGTGGTGGCAGCCACCTGTAATCCCAGCTACTTGAAAGGCTGAGGCAGGAGAATCCCTTGAACCCGGGAAGCAGAGGTTGCAGTGAGCAGAGATCATGCCATTGCACTCCAGCCTGGGTAATGAGAAACTCCGTCTCAAAAAAGCCCCCAGATTATTAGAGGTTAAATTTGTTTGCAATGGAAACAAAACAAACAAAAGCCAAGAAAAGGACCTTAATTCTTTCTTTGTTTTCTGAGGTTTTTTGTGTTTTTTTTTTTTTTTTTTTTTTTTTTTTTTGTCTTCCTCCACTTAGAACACTGGGTTATTTTCATATGAACATAATTCACTAAAAATTAATATTGATTTTATCGTCAACTGCTGTCACACCTATTTAGTTGGAAAAAGAAAGAACCACCTCTATCAGGACATATTTGCTTGGGATTAACATCTATCATAGAATCTGCAGTGGAAATGCCGATTCTAGAATGCCTGGCTTCCACTAGTAGACAGTCATTTAAATTCTTCTTAAAAGATTGAACTGTTAACACAATAAACTTTTCCTGAGAAAATTAATATTACCATATAGAAGTGTTTTTTATAAATTAATAATTATTTTTATCCAAAATTATAGTATATTATATTAGAAAAGGAGGAGATTGAATTACACCATGTTTAGAATTGATAGGTTATGCTTTAATTTATAGTGTATTTGCAGTCTGTACAAATCACCCTTTCAGTCTTCAGGCCATGAAAGAAAAGCAAGATCTCTCCACATGCTTTAAACCAAGTAAAAACAAGAACCACCATCTGGAAAAGGGCGGCCAGTATACATAAGATCCACTAGTGCAGTAAACTTAAGGCTTGCTGACCTCTGGGCTACCAGCACCATGCTGGCTTACCTGGAATGAAAGCCCGCATGATCCATGCGGGAATAGTATCAAGTCATGCCCCAGGCGAAGCAGCACCTCCTCAGGGATCTGCTCCAGCTCCTCTTCCAGTGCTAGATTCCTTTTATTGCCCCCTATGAATGAATCTTAGCTCCTTCCTACTTTCATCTCCATCTTATTCTTTTGCCAGCTACAGTTCTCAGGCACCCATGTAACTAAATCCCTGCTTTAAATGATCTCTGCTTATGTAACTAGTTTGGATTCTGCTTTTTTTTTTTCTGCAAACACAAAAAGAGAAAGATGATTAGTTCATATTTTAAATTTGCTCAGAATTTGATAATATCTATTTTGATTTTATCACAGTTATAAGTTTTAGATATTATCGTTAAGTATTTATATTATTTACCAGGAGAAACCGGCTTTGCAAAATCTACTCTTTTCCTAAGACTTCTAAGTTCTGAATTTTAGCCATTTGTAATACCTAGAAAATTGAAGATGCTTAATATATACTCGTTGAATTAATCAATATTGCACTACTGCCAAGTAAGTAGTATCTAAAGGAAGTTTCAGAAATTACCTCTAGAGTATTGGGAATCTAGCACTAAATTAAGAGAATTCTTGTATTATGGCCCAGCAGTGTGGTTTATCAAAAGTTACTCTAGTACCCAACAGAAAAGCGGGGAGGAAGTACTCTTCCTTATATACATCTACTATATGTTTCCCTACTTAAATGTAAAACAGCTTCCTCTTTTCCAACTGTGTTCTTTATCATTTAAGGTCATCCACATTACAAATTCACCAGATGGATTTTAAGTTTTCCACGTTGTTCCAGTTATTAGGCTAGTGTTTGGCAGCTCTAAACTGTATGTTCTTATGATGCCAGAGCTGAGCCTGTGAAAATTACATGACTGCTGGCCATTTGACTCTCAGTTAAGTTCTACTGTAAAGATCTTTGAGGAGATCAGAAGTTTGCAGGCAGACAAAGGGCTCCTCCTTTCCCATTTGCCTGCTGTTCCTGGAGTATCACTCAGCCAATGGCTCTTAGTTTCTGCAGAAGCAGTTGGTTCTGGCTGCCAGTAATTTTTCTTCACTCCCAGAACCAGTCTTCCTACAACTCCTCAAAGGAACCAGAAGCAGCTGGGCAGCAGCACCTCCTCAGTTGTCTGCTCCAGCTCCTCAGGACCCTCCTCTTCCAGTGCTGGATTCCTTTTATTGCCTCCTAAGAATTAGTCTTAGCTTCTTTCTGCTTTCATCTCCGTCTTATCCTTTTGCCAGCTACCGTTCTCTAGCACTCATATAACCAAATCCCTGCTTTAAATGGTCTCTGCTTATATAACTAGTTTGGATTTGGCTTTTTTTTTTTTTTCAGTTAGACTCTGATATACATACAACACCAGTTTCAACTAATAGACACCTTGAATTTTCTAATTGGAATGTGTTGGCAAATTCTAGTTGCCATTATAAAATAAATATGTTAAATTGACCTAAAATGCTGTATTTATCTTGCTGTGCAAATTTCAGAATTTTCTCTGTGTATGGGTACTACAAGGACATAGACACAATTTATTGATATGCATTATTCAAATGGAAACTTATAGAAATTATACAACCAAATATAAATAAATGGAACTAGAATTAATTAAAGAGCTACAAGTTAGCAGGATTAAACTAGGACAGTTATTTTGTCTTTCTTTTGTCCCTTAATACTCTGACAGCTTTCTATTCAGAAAGTAGGGAGAGTAAATAACATTTTTTATATAGTTGGCATAAAATACATCCCAAGAATAGACAATTCTTATGCATTTCTGATACTAATTTCTTATGCATTTCTGATACTAATTTTTCCATTAGCTTTTCATGTCAGAGTATAGATGTTTTTACTTCTGCAAAGAAAGGCATAAAATAAGCTGGGTATGGTGGCATACACCTATAATCTCAACTATTCAGGAGGTTGAGGCAGGAAGGTCACTTGATCCCAGGAGTTCCTGTCCAGTCTCGCTAACATACAGCCTGTTTTGCTATGTTCTTCCCTTTTTGTTTTTAACTTAGTGTCTTCCTGTATTTGTCCATTTTCACACTGCTGAAAAAGGACATACCTGAGAATGGACCATTTATGAAAGGGGTTTATTGGACTTAGAGTTCTATGTGGTTTGGGAGGCCTCATACTCATGATGGAAGGCCAGGAGGAGCAAGTCACAACTTACGTGAATGGCCTCAGGCAAAGAGCGCTTGTGCTGGGAAGCTCCCTATTTTTTTTTTTTTTTTTTTTTGAGACAGAGTTTTACTCTGTTGCCAGGTGCCAGGCTGGCGTGCAGTGGCACAATCTCAGCTCACTGCAACCTCCGTCTTCCGGGTTCAAGCAATTCTCCTGCCTCAGCCTCCCAATTAGCTGGGACTACAGGCACACGCCACCACGCCCAGCTAATTTTTGTATTTTTAGTAGAGACTGGGTTACACCATGTTGGCCAGGATGGTCTTGATTTCTTGACCTTGTGATCCGCATGCCTCCTCCTCCCAAAGTGCTGGGATTACAGGCTTGAGCCACCACACGCGGCCAGAAACTCCCATTTTTAAAACCACTGGATCTTGTGAGACTCATTCATTATCATCGGAACAGTGTAGGAAAGACCCACCCCCATATTTCAATCACCTTCCACTGGGTTTCTCCCATGTCACATGGGAATTGTAGGAGTTACAATTCAAGATGAGATTTGAGTGTGGACATAGCCAAACCATATCCCTGCCACTCAGCAACAGTTTTAATTCCTTCAAAATTGTATGTTTTCACTGGCCTCAGCACCTTTGGTCATAATCTTTGCAATAGTCTGACCCCATTTTTTGTGTTCAACTGCTAATAGCTTTCAAATCCTACCGATTTTCTTCCCCTTCAGCCTGCATCTGGACAAGTCGATAAGAAAGCATGAATGCTCTCCTTTTCAGTGGCAATGGGAAGTTCAGATCACACAATATCAATCAACCTGTGAGTGGAAATCTTAACCCTAGCCCCATTTCATCCCACCCCACCACCCTACAATTGGGGTTTCAGGACAGCAGTACTGTTTAGGGACTACAGATTCTAATTCAGTCTCTTTTCCTTGCTCTCTCCTGACATTCTAGGACCTGATGAGGACCCCACCCTGCTCTCCCCAGAAAGCTTCGCTATGTGAGTAATAAACATTTTCATACCCTCTTAGTGTGTGTGTTGTAAGTTAGTATTGACATCTGAACCAAATTTTGGGTGGGAAGGTCCATTCTGCTTCTGCAAGGTGACACAACTATTGGCATAGTTAAGAGTGTTCAGGCAGGCTGGGCTCGGTGGCTCACACCTGTAATCCCAACACTTTGGGAGGCCAAGATGGGCAGATCACTTGAGATCAGGAGTTCAAGACCAGCCTAGCCAACATGGTGAAACCCCATCTCTACTAAAAATACAAAAATTAGATGGGCATCATGGCATGTACCTGTAAGTTCAGTTACTCAGGAGGCTGATGCATGAGAATCACTTGAACCTGGGAGGCAGAGGTTGCAGTGAGCTGAGATCACACCATTGCAGTCCATCCTGGGTGACAAAGTAAAACTTGGTCTCAAAAAATAAAAATAAATTTAAAAAAAAAGTGTTCAGGCAATGACCACTACCACTGGGGGCCTTTTGGTCTCACTTTGTCTTGCTAACTAGCTCTGCTGCTTGCTTCTTAGCATACTGTTGAGTTTTGTGGCTGCCTGGCTGGCAAGCTTTGTTCTATGCTGCTTTTTCCCATATTCGCTGAGTTCTTCTGTGGTTCATTCTCACCTAAATCTGAAGTTATAATTGGGGTTTAGGGACAAGAGTGTGGGATTGAGGCCCTTCTTGAAGTGACTCTGGGGCATGTGCCTCTATCTGTATGTCTCAGATGGAAAAGTGTGTCTCTGTTTCAGCATAAACTCTGACTAATGCTAGGCTCAAAGGAGCATTATCTGTAACTGTCGATTGTGTGTCTCAACCAAGTATCGGTCCCCAACTCTTTGGTCTTCTCAGGGTAGAGAGTGACAGGCTGTGCAATATGTAGTCACATTAGATTTCTGCTCCTGGAGAGGAAAAACAGTTACTGTGTGACATACTGAAATCACTTTCCTAAAAGCAGAGGGCTCAGTAGGACTCTGCACAATAAATTTTCTGTTGCTGATTATTATTCCTTTGTTGAAATAAAAATACTACTTCTCAGGGTTTTAGGAAAAAAACACCAATGGCACCTTCATGGCAAAGTCAAGGGATTAAATTCAAGCCCAATTTAAGCCTGGGTCCTAAAACCGTATAAAATAATCATTTATAATACCAAAGCTTAAGCTTCACTAGAGGATGAAATTTATAAATATGAGCAGCATAGGGAGAATAGGGAGAACCCGGTTTACCATTAGATGCAGAAAGAAGAAACAAAAACTGAAATAATGTCTCTGATTTGACCCAATTGGAAATTTAAATTTTATTAAAATAATTTATATAACAAAAAGATTAAAAGACACTAATTAGCTTTTGCCATTACAGCATAGGTTTTGAATTAACTTTTACATCTGTTGAAATGCACTTACTAGCAAATTTTCATGACCTTTATGAATAAGCTCAAATCAAGTTTTTTCTATGAATCCTACTACATTTAAAAATAATGCCACTATAATTTTAGAGATGTACTGCCTATAAAATAGACAATGCATAGGTATGCTTTAAGTAACTATTAGAACAATTGTCTTTCCTCAATTTCTGATGGTCACAGCACCCATTGCCTTAAAATGTATTGTGGTGGTGACTGATGCTCTAAACCAATGAATATAAAATTAAAATTAATTAAGACCTGGCACTTACAATTGACTTAAATAAAAGGCACCCCATAGGCCTTTTTCCTAGATAAAATAGTTAATACAGCACAATAGAACTTTAAACAGAATCTTCAAAAATGAAACTCATTACACAAGACTTATTTAGAGAAGACGTGATTATCCTTACTGTTTCTCCATTTAACAGCCCAATTTGGTCTGATCTTACACCAGGGAAAATGAATAGTGTTTCATAGCAGATTATCAAAACATTAATTCTGTGGTCAAATGCACTAATATTGTTACGCAGGCTGGAGTGCAATGGCGCGATCTCGGCTCACCACAACCTCAGCCTCCTGGATTCAGGCAATTCTCCTGCCTCAGCCTCCTGAGTAGCAGGGATTACAGGCACGTGCCACCATGCCCAGCTAAATTTTTTGTATTTTTAGTAGAGACGGGGTTTCACCATGTTGACCAGGATGGTCTCGATCTCTTGACCTTGTGATCCACCTGCTTCTGCCTCCCAAAGTGCTGGGATTACAGGCGTGAGCCACCGTGCCTGGCCTGCTATTTCTTGTATACCAGTAATGAGTGAGTTATCACCCTATGAGTTCATGCCATATCTGCTTGTTTAAAAGAGCCTGGTATCTCCTCACTCTGTTTCTTGCTTCCTTTCTTGCCGTGTAACATGCTGAGTCTCCTTCAGCTTCCACCATGATTGTAAGTTTACTGGGGTCCTCACCAGAAGCAGATGCCAGAACTATGCTTTTTGTACAGCCTACAGAATGATGAGCCAAATAAACCTCTCTTCTTTATAAATTACCCAGTCTCAAATATTCCTTATAGCAATACAAATGGACTGACACCCATGAAAACCCCATTTCCATTATTGTTGAAATTCCTGACACTATTAAATCAGTAACAGGTAAATACATTACAGTTGTAAATGTAGCTAGTATTTTTTATTTAGTGCCTATTTTCAGCAGGTTTTCAGCCACAATTTTCCTTCCTGGATCCTATGCTATTTCTCATTACGTGGCAATTGCTGGCTGCTACTACACTGTCCTGGAAACAGAGGATCTACTCAGCCCTGAACTCATGACCCTCTGCACTTAGCTGCCCAAATGCTATAGGTCATAAAAGCATTGTCCTGCAAGCTCAGCATGGTCACTTGCTAAGCATAAAGTTTCACATGTATTTCCATATATAAAGCCACGATACAAGACAAAATATGAAACCTAAAATGATGAAATTATAAACAAAGCATTCAATGAACATTTCACCTCACTTAATGGCTTGAAGGCTACCAGCATCATAGAAGGCCACAATGGCTTAATTAAGCAAGCTCAAATTTAATTAAATGAAGCATGGAATATTTCAATCATCTGTCACACACCATGAATTGTAAGTCTGTAACAATCATGAACTGTAATAATCTGACTCTTTTTGATTTTTGGCTGCTAATGACGTCTGAGCTCTACCATTCCTCCTTCCCCTCTGCTCCACAGAGAAAGTTTGACCAAACAAAGAAAAGTCTCTTTCTTTGTCAGTGTCACAAAGTACAAACCAAGCAAGCCCTAGCCCGCATGAGAGAATCCTCAGCCTGCTCTACTCTTTAGCCACCGTAAAACACCAAGCCAGTCTTCTTTTCCTGTTCTCTCATGCCATTCTTGGGTATCTGGCTTTCCTCAGAAAGCCTCATTATTATGTGAGTAATAAGCCTTTCATATCTTCGTTGTGCATGGGTGGTGTCATTAATCGCAACGTGAACACATTTTGGGTGGTAAAGGTCTATCCTGCTTCTATGGACTTATAATATTCCTATTTCTGGTTTTGTTATCATTATTACTATTATTGGAAAGAAATACAACACAGGGGAGTGGGGCAAAAAAAAAAAAAAAGAAATACAACACAGAATTTACCATCTTAACCTTTTAAAAGTGTATAATAATGTCACACTATTGTGAAACAGTTATTCTGAAATTTTCCTTTTCTAAATATGAAACTCTGTACCCATTAAACAATTCCCATTTTGCTCCTTTTCCCAGTTCCTGGTAACCATGATTTGATTTTCTATTTCTATGAATTTGATTCCATTAGATACCTCATATAAGTGGAATTGTGCAGTATTTGTCTTTTTCTGACTGTTTTATTTCACTTATCATAATATCCTCAAGGTTCATCTATGTTGTAGCATATGACTTCATATTTAAGTCTTAACAATATGCCACTGTATGCGTATGTCATATTTTATTTATTCATTCATCTATTGATGGACATTTGGGTTGCTTTTACCTATTGGCACTTGTGAATAATGCTGTGATAAACCTGGTGTATGCAAATTTTTCCTCAAGACCTTGCTTTCAATTCTGTTGTGTATATACCCAGAAGTTGGAGTTCTGGATCACATGGTAGTCTATTTTTCAACTAATAAGGAGTCTCCCTACTGTTTTTCATAGCAGTTGCACCACTTTACGATCCCAATATCAGTGCATAATGGCTCAGTTTTACCACATCCTCAGCAGCACTTGCTATCTTCTGTTTTTCATTTGGTTTTATTTTGATAGTAGCTCTTGTAATGGGTCTGCAGTGATGTCTCATTGTGCTTTTTCCACACATTTTTCTGATAATTAGTGATATTGAACATTTATTCACAGGTTTCTTGGCCATTTGTATGTCATCATTGGTGTTCTGCCTGTTTGAGTTTGTTTTTTTTCTTTCTTTCTTAATTTATTTATGTTTATCTTCTGGTACCAAAGCTAATATATTTTTTATCAAGCCTTTGGTAATTGGTACGTGTGTCCCAACACTCTCCATGTTATCTTCCTGTTCGTGCAAATATTTAATGTCTGTTTTATCTTCCCTAATGAAAAGTTAAATGAAGAAAAGACAACTTCTGCTCATTTACTATTGTGTCTGGTACATGCTAGATGGACCCTAAATATTCTTGAATTCTGACTTGATTGTATGAATCAGGTATTCTTTGCTATTTACTTGACTGAAATTATAGCCCTCTAAAAGACATTACTAAAATCACTAAATGTATTGCTTTTTCTGTGAGCATTACTATTATTGGGCCCAGAAGAAGAAAAATTGTATTGTGATAGTGCTAATTTTAATTTGGCACTTACTATTTTTCAAGAACTATATAAAGTGATACATTTATTACCATCGATTTTATGAGAAAAGTACTATATCATGTCTTAATTGCAGATGTAAAATGAAGCTTTAGGATAACCAGCTTGTCTAAGCTCACACAGCTAGTGTGTAGTGGAGTAGTGAATGGTAATAAACAATTTGAAGACCTGCTTTGTTGCAAAGGAGGAGATGGGATAGGCATGGGATTGTGCTATCATTCCAGAGCTGACAGGGAAC